GCATCCGAAAATCAAGACCAAAATGAAACCGACGAAACAAAAACATAACATTGGCAATAGATCAGCGAACGGTACACAGACATATGTATGTGACATGTGTCTTGCGGCAAAATACAATTATTCAGTTTTAATCGACAATCGATTTAGATGGGCTAATCTTAATCAATATTGAATTACATCGTAAATTACGGAACAAACCGCGCACACATTCGATTTTCATATACGGATGTGTATCACAGTTACCGTTCCAGAAGCAATCATAAACAAAGGTTGCTGAATAACCTGCCAAATGTGTTGCAGACAAAATCTGTCACTGGCTCCGATCACAAAGTGAAATTGATTTTAAAATGACGTCAAATTCTTGGTTTCGTTGAAATCTTAGATACTTGTAATACAAACTTTGTCCCATTAACTCCTCTATTACGTGGACACTGCACCATATTGGGTGATTGTTTTTATTCAGAAAATCTCAAATTTTGATTGAATATTTTTGATTTAGTTCACTGTTGGGACAAGCGATATCCAAAGTCGGTCACAAAAGTTGGGTTAATATCAACAATTTACCAAAAAAACACAGATATATCATATTTCGCTGAAATGCGATTCAAAAATATATTAGAGATCAAAAGACAAAGAAAGAGAACGAAAAAAAGTGAGAAGAAAGTAAAAGTATTCCACAAAAATTCGATTTCATACATATTCCGTGCTATGATTTGTCATCCAATGATGCAGATTTAATCAGCATATTGCTCATATGCTCATCCATTCCTAGCGATTCGAATGATATGCTTACATATTTATTTTCATTAATTTAATTTTGGTTGTTTTTTTTGTTTTTTTTTTCGCCACATTTCATCCAATAAAGTATGGAATTATAACTAGCCATCTCGCTCTTTCTTTTTTTTTCTTCTCATCGATTATTTCAATTATTTCCAATTCACTGTTGATCGAACAGCAACACCAACCAAAATATATAACAAAAATTTATTCATTATGGAATGTGCAGATTATTTTTCTCATCCATCTCTTTTCGACTTTTCATATGAAATTTGGTATATATTTTGAATAAAATTTTATCGATAAATTCCATATTAATGGAAAAAAAGCAATGTTGCAATTAATCAAATCTCCAAACTGCTCACCAGTGAACGATGCTCGCAGTGGTAGCAAATTGTTTTTATTGCTTTACATGACTGCATAACGGCAAAATAGTTTTGAAGCAACCGAAAAAAAAACACACATATGACAGCAACAAAAGCCGCCGAATGAAGTATTAAGTGGTGAAGCATTTCAACGACAAGAGTGAGAGAAAACAAAAAAAAAACACTACTGAAATGATAATTTGTTGACATGAAAACTTGTCTGCCCACTGCCTAAGCACAAAAGACAAACGATATATGGGCATTAATTCAATTATCCAAATTTTGATAAGGGACAATTTAATTTGGAATTCCAACGAAAAGCGATTTATATACATTTGCGCAAACACACACATTTTTGTGTTGATGAAATAACAACAAAAAACTAAACCAACAACAATGCTTTGTTCACCCAATCACGCTATAAGGAACTATTATAAGACGACATAATCATCAATACGATTATCTTTTCGGCTCAGTTGAATTTTTGGCCACATTCAAACAAAATGAGGAGTGAGAGTGAGACCGACGACTCGATGCGAACCTCTGTTGAGAAATCCAGTATTTATAATGCGTAAATGTTAATTAACACAAAGTACATTTGAGATCCAATATTTTATATGATATGGCCAAATTATAAGCGAGACATTCATTTGGAGACATTCTTCAAAAAATTGGCGATTATTTCTTAATTTAGCCTCCAATTTTACTACCAGCAGCATATCTATATCGTTTTTTTATTTTTTATTGTTGTATTGCTTAATTACTTTTTTTGGACACGATGCGCAAATTTCAGGCGCCAAACTGAATGACACTTTAAACTCTTTTGCGATGGATCTCGGTCAAGATGCCATTCAAAAATGCACATAATTCACATATGCAACCGAATTTCACAAAGGACAATTGGATTTTAAATCAGTTTCGTTTTTATTTTGATTTTGTTTTGTTAGGTATCTTTTGTTTTTTTTTTTTTTTTAAATTTAGTTTTACTGTTTTTGGTAATTGGTGAAGATGAAAATCGCGTGGTTTAAATAATCATCAATCGCATTATTTGAAATTGAGAAATAAAACGAGAGAGAGAAAACATCACAAATTTATGACAAAACAATAAATTAAATGACGTCAAATTTTCAAGTATGGCATCTTCATTTTTTTTTGCGATTATGCCAATTTGTGATCAAAAATTTTTAATCGCTCAATCGAATAAAATCATCCAAATATGAAATACGAAACGGTTTTTATCATTGACATACGTCAAAAATCAAGTTGGAGATTGCTTTAGAACAAATATGACACAAAATTTATGCGAACATGTCATACTTTACAAGTCAGTTTGGACATTTTTACTGACAACATCACACAGCGATATTTTTTATAGAACCGGACTGGAATTAGAATTAATGATGCCAAACTCATTCATTCTCGCACGTATTCACAGAACTCTTCGATGTATATGATAAATATCGTTAAAAAGTGTAACGCCAAAGATCTCATCGAATTCTGTCGGATGTTCTTGTTTTCGACCTGTTCAAATGTTGACCGATTAAAATAGAATAGGTCTTAGAAAAGTAGCCAATTTGTAGGCTATTTCTTATCATGCTTACCATAAAAGAAGAACTTTGAGTGGGGAAAAGATTTTCAACGCATCAAATCGAAAAAAAATAATCGGTTTGTGGTTCAATCGATCATGAAAAAGTCCAAAACCGACATGATGAAAACGTCGATGAGTCAATTGGGATCGGTGTATTCGTCGAAATGACACAAAATAACATTGAAAAGAAAAAAAACGTAGCACCGAATAAAAACTGCAACATCCTGGAAGGAGATGTTTTATTGCGATTCTCTTAATCGATGTGCTGTTCTTTGTAATGGAATATGAGCCAATCAGCACGATTTGTCTCTCTGTAGGCATTTAACCCACATACACATAAAGTCAGGAAGAAGAAGGCAAAAAAACCATTCTGCCGACTGACAATGAATGAAGTAACGAAAAACGCATATATGCATATTATAACCATAATCGTTTTTATATATATATGTATATTCTTTTCGCTCGCATCATCAACATCATTATCATTGTTACGACGATCTTTTGTCGGTTTGTCGTGTGATCATTATAATTCCGTTTCGTTTTAATTTTTTTTCCTCTTCATTTCAGCGTTACCGCGTTTGTATACATACATATGTATTTTTTTTGCACCAAAAGTTATTAACATAAATTATAAAAGCTTAAGCAAAATAGTTATGAAGAAACACCTCTGTGATTAAAATACATATGCAAAGCGCAGTGCACGTGTGTGTGTGTGTGTATGATGTTAGATTTTCGTTGTTTTTCTTTTGCCCTGCACTGTCAGCCTTTTCACCTTCTTTCGGCAGCAGCACCAGCCGTCGCACAATTCCATATGAGTTCGAACGCAATTCGCATTGCCACAGTATCGCCGCTATGCACCGAATGTTGCAAATACCAAATTTTGCATATGAAATGGTTGATTCAATTTAGTTTTTCTCATTAGAATCAGAATGATATTTTAATTATGTCTTGTGTCATACGAATAAACGCATTTGAATATTTGCATTATTCAATCGTGCGAACTCATATTTTTCTGCGAATATATTAATAGAAAAAAAATCGCATCACATGAATTACCTGTATAATTGTTCGATTATGGATAATATTAACGATTTGCAATTGAGAAATAATAAATGCCATTGTTTTCATTGTTTTTTTCGTTTCGTTCAGCATGTGCCTGCGAAACCAATAGAGAGATAAATGAAAGCGGATGCAATTATAAAACAAGGATACTTTTATTGTTTGGATTTTCCGAATCCACGCGAAATGGTCACATGTGAACCGATCAACCGATAAACCGATTCGATCTTGCAATTCGTGTTCAAAAAGCGTTCAGGAAGATCAAAAATAAGTGAATATCGTCGTTGCAATTTTTTTTTTCATTAAAATTTTTTGCATTTCCATTGAAATCGATACGGAAAAAAAAATCTATGTCAAATATATGAAAATACAATGAAATAATTGAAACTGTGTTATCAGAGCTCTTGAAATTTATCTCGAAAAAATGTGTGCTGCGAAACACATCATCATTCAATCATATATGAATAAATTATAACAAAAAAGCAGATAAGCGATCGCCATACATAAACCAGCGCATATGTATATGAACAATGCGAACTGCTTTTTTCCGCAATTTTATTTATTTTTTTCTTATGTATCATCTCTTTTTTTTGTTTCTTGGAAATTCGTGTGATCCCAACATTTGAAGCGAAGAAGAAAAAAAAAACAATTATGCAGATAGTTTTCACAAAAATGATTATCAATAATATTAGTATCTAGTAACAGTAGCGCTGGCGCACGTATAGAAGAAGTCTTTTTGTCGAAAAAACCAATGAGAAGACACAGCAAGCATACAATGTCTAAGTGATTTGTTTTTTTTTTCTCTTCTCTCTTCCATATACTACCTTTAATCAGCAGCTATGGTGATCGCAACGCTAGCGTTAAGATGACACACAAGCACGAGAGCGTATGAGAGAGCGGCGACAACGATGACGACGGCGGCGGTGGCACCTTATGGTATGGTACATTTTTTTAATGTTGCTTTGGTTCGTCGCGTTTCATTGCTGTGGCAAAAATGAGAGAGATAGAAAACAACACCATAGATGCGAATACGCGTACACGAGACACACATTTAAATCCTCCAAATACACATCAACCACTTTGAACACCGAAATAAAGAGAGAGAGCATCAAGAAAGAAAAAAAAACGAAAAACAAAACCGCCACTGAATGATTTTCGATTCGCTATATAAATGCTGTAATTTTCTACTCACTCTCATACTAAGGTGATCATTCGAAGTGCAAAGACTGTATTCGGATTTTGAATACCGTGCGATCGAATAAACCGTTCAATCAGTGTATTTAGAAGAAAATTTTATTTGTTATTTAAAATAAACAAAAACACTGTTCACTATATTTCGCATTAGAACCGTGTTTTTATTGTGTATTATTTTTGGTGATTTTTGTTGGAAAACAATACCAGATATTGGATTAGCAGCGATCTGAACTTCAGATCATTTTCACCCTTTTTCGAGTTTTATTTAAAAAAAAAATTCCGCAATGTAAGGAATCTTAATTCATTGTTTTTGTCAAAAAAGCAAAAAAAAAAACAGTTTCATCGATTTTTTTTTATTTTGGTTGCAAGTGGTAATTTGCTGAATAGAAATTCGTGTATTTTCCATTTATTCTTTTCTTATTGAAATTTAAAAGAAAAAGAAAGATTTGATCTTTGGTTTAATTGCAAACGGAGAAAATCAAAGAAATTTACTTCTTCGGAATAAGTGATAACAGATAGATCAAAATCGAATTTATTTTCAACGATCACACACACAGTGACCAATATTTAAAGGATTAAAACAGCTAGAATTTTATTTTTGTAAATTTGCACCGTCACTTGATCCGCTGATCGAATCGTGTTTGTTCCGAAAATATATTTTGTAAAGAAAAAGGCGAAATTTTATTTTTAAAGCATCCGAATCATAAAAAAATTACGAAATGTACACTTTGTGCAAGCCGAAGAAAATATTAAATACGTTGAATCGTCGTTTATTTCTTAAATGTGAATGGAAGACATTTTCCAATTGAACTTCTTGATATACTTCTTTTGATTCACATATTTCTTGTCGTTTATTTTTTTTTTAATTGTGGTATAGTAGTGGCTCTTTTTTCATGCTATATGGCATTGCAACGCTTCCAATTTCAGATTCATTATTATGTTGGATGCTGATGTGTTCAACTGTTGTGTCTGATGAAAATCTTTAGTAGGGCACGGCAAGGTGAAATGAGTAGCGAACAATCTACACCGGTTTTTTTGTTTCTTCACTACATTTTCGTATAAAGTTTGTTTATTTATTTCGATTGTTTTGCTGCCTTTTTTCCATGTTTCGCCTGTTATGCGCCGTCGTCGTCATTGATGACGTTGATACAGCCTATGAAGATCATATTTGAATCGAAAGCATCACGGCAACTCTCTGTGCAATGCACTACATAATTTCGTTTTCTTGATGTAAACAACAACAATGTAGTGTGCGCCATGGTAAAATTCATTTATGACAACATTGTTGTTACTTAACACGAATCAAATGTGTACATCTGTTCTTTTTCTTTTCACGTTTTCATTCGTCTTTCTTTCGTGGCATTGTACGGCTCATGTGAAATGGCATTTCTTTTCTCGGAACTAAAAAAAAGTTAAACAATATGCATCAATGCGACAAATTAATAGCGGTGATCAATTGAGCGGACAGGTCGATGAAAATGAGTTTGTACACAACTTTTCGGTCAGCTGAAAATGTTGTGAATTTGATTTTTTTTTTGTTTTTCTTACTGTCTGCACGAAGAAAAGAAATTAATGATTTTCACTTGAATAGAGAGCTTAATGCATTTGTTGCCGTTTCGTACACGTTTTGATATAAAGCAATGCTACGTAATAGTTGATTGAGTCGCATCTTTGAACGTGACGAATTAAGTGTATTATAAGAGCATTGCCTCACCATCAGCGGAGACATTTATCATTCGTTTTGTTTACCTTTTTTTATGTAATTCAATGCACGAAGCAATCTCTAGTAACCGAATAATTATAATAAAAAAAACAATCGATATTCTGAAATGTCCATCAGAAAACGTGAATAAATCTTTTGTAATCGACTAATTTTGACAATTTCCCATCTCTCTCTCAATAAAATATAGAATGAACGTGTGTATTGCCCTCGTCGGGCTTTTCCTTATCGGAGCCCAATGTGCCGAAAAAGAAGATTTCGAAAAAATCGTCGCCAACAGCAATGTGTTCGGTAAAGGCGATGACAAATTCTGGTGGATGTCCCAAGGCTCACCATTCAAACGTGCTGCTGCATACCATGCTGCACCACAACAACAATTCAACTTTGATGCTAACCCATTCTTGCGCAGTAAGTTTATATTGGTTAATTTTTGTTTTTGTTTTTTGTTTGTATTTTTATATTCATCGCCGAAAACATTTACGATTCTTTGAATAAATCGATAAATAGAATAGCCTTTTTTGATTTTTTTTTGTTTGTTGAGAAAACAATAGATTTGACTATAAAACATTAGATGTGCTCATATAAATTAAAATGTTTTGTGTTTCTAAAATAGGCAACAGACAAGCTGCTTCCAATGCAAAATTGTACAGTGCACCTGGATACTTGCCACCAGAACCACAAAAGCCACAAACTGTTCCATGCCAAGGAAATGGTCGCGTCTGTGTACCAAAATACCAATGCCAGGGCGGTTCAGTTGATGCTAGCCAAGTGAGCGGACAAAATAGCCAGGTAACTTATGTTTTACTTGTTTTTACATTTTTTTTCAATGACGCAATTATGCATGTTGATCATCATAAATTGAGTTAAAACTCTTTGGATGTTATCGATCATTTGAATATGTTGTTTGTTTCTATATGCCCATAATGTTCGTTCATAAATGTTTTTAACGATCTCCAGGGAAAAATTCACTCAAAGAATTTTATTATTGCCGCATTTTTATTAATGTTCTTTTATTTAATTTTTTTTAAATTTCATATTCGTTGGTTATTTTTTTTTTGCAATTTGCCCATTGTTTTGTGCAGCCATTTCGGCGCAGCCATGCACACAATATGCGCACACAAAAATGTTCCTTCTCTATCTCAAGGTTGTGTGTTTGCTTGCGATGTTTTAGACAAGTGAAAAAAAAAACGAAACAAACGAAACAAAACCATATATAAAACTATTAAATGTTGTTGCTCTGTTTTCGGTTCGATTTTTGTTTGGATTTGGTGTGAGCGTATTGTGTGTACGCAATAAAAATTATTGTACCACCTAATGCGTTGGGAATTCTCACCATTTACAAATGAAATTCAATTCCATAAACAATTATATAGTCGCGCACCTATCTCATTCACTCTCGTTTTTCGTTTGCCAAACAAAAACAAAACACATGATTCAGTCGCGCGTCCAAATACACGCAGCCAAATGCACATTTAAATATTCTCTATTTTGGATTGAAATTCAAAAATGTGTGTTAAACTCATTTAATGCATTTAACTGTTAACGATTCGTGGTTTGTATGCGTGTGCACTGCGATTTGTTCAGTGTTAAGTATAAAGTGTTCTGTACTCATTTGCCATTATTTACGCAGTGCAACATTCGCACAAAATTTCGCATTTTTGCGAAATTGCATCTGAATTGTCCGGTCAAATGGGTTTTGCTATTGCGAAGGGGCACGAAAAATTCTCTCTGTGTGTATGTGATGTCATGCGTACGTTTGATGCGGTGTGAACTGTACACATTCTAATCGAGAGCAAAGAAAGAATAATAAAAATGTGCTCGCACAAACAGATATCACACACAGAAAGAGCGAATGAGAGGGCGGATGTTGAAACACCGGCACTTAGATTGTGTTCGTGCCACTTCATTCAATCTCGAGTTTTGCGATTTAATTAGTTAACTGTGAAGTGGCAAATATGTGTTTAATTGAAAACATAAAATCTATGAATTCGATATTAAAACAACGTTTCCCTTCAACATATATTTCGTACTGTACACCGTACACACATATATATCCAGAAAAAAGGCCTCAAAACGCGCAAGAACTTGTAATTTTATACTTCTAAAGTTCACATCAAAATTGCTTCAAGCCAAGTTAGTTTCATATTTTGTATCTCATTCTTTCGATTTTTCACCATCTCACTCTATCTCCGTTGCTCTCTTCACCTATATATTGCTACATTTATATGTGGTCGTGTGTTGTGCCATACGATTTTTCGATGTTTACAGCGAATGCAATCGAAACGACATACAAAGAAAAGAAACATGCATAATTACGAAAAATTTCACGATTTCTTTTTTACTTGGTGGCGCGTTAAATACGTTGACGTGATATATCAAAGGTACAACCTAAAAAAACACACGCTGAATTGACACGATATCGATTAGATTAGATAGTCGGTATATTTCAATTTTCCAAACTTTGGCCGTTTTATATTGTAGTACACGCGCGTCAAATGCTTGTCGGCATATACTCGAATTTCGTAAGAACACAAAACAAGAATTGTTTCTATTGGCGTTTCCAATTTTTTGCTCAATTGAAACGAAACCAAAATCCACACATTACGAATGAGAGAAAACAAAGTTACCGAATAATTGGTGAAAAAGGGACTTTAAGCAATGATCCCCGCAGCCATTTTCAACCAATATTGCGGTGGAAGTAAACATATTTGTTGTTCTTCTATAATTTGTAAAAAAAAACCAAAGAGAAAACCGCATTGGTCATAAGCAAAATGGCAAAACCTATTGAATTCAACTGAAAAACGCAATAACGTTTTTCGCCTGTGTCAGCGACAGCAGCGAAAAAAAGCCACCAAAATAAGCATAACAGTCAAATAATAATAATAATAAAAAAACTTTGCAGTATTGCGCATTAGTCGGAATCTCCATGAGAATTTATCATTTGGCCAGTTGGCTGTGATTAATGTGTGCATGTACGCGATGTTTCAACAGGGATTATTCAAGAATATAAGAAATGAGATGCGATGCGATTAGCAATTGAATGTAGAGTGTATTTACGATTGTTTGGCATGCTTAACAACATCGATATGTCGCCATATCACGTTGTTCACGACTCTCCTACTCCGGCCTCACAAGATTGAGAGAGATCGATTTTTCATTTGGCGCGATCGTTTTCATGGCGATGATAAAGATGAAAACGCCAAAAAAAAACAACCAACAACAACAACAACAATCATAATAAGACATAAAACAACAAAACCATAATGCTTGTACCGACCAGAATCTGTAAAAACCAACACAATTACAACTTTACCCATTTCAATAAATCGAAAAGCGATCGGATCGGTCTGAAAAACAGCAAGCATGATGAGACTTTGACTTCCAACATGTTTGCATGCGCATGTGTGAATATGATATTACATGGTTGTGAGCATGCATTGCACAATATTCTATATAATAATAATTTTTGCCTTAAAATAAAACACAAATCTTAAGGACACTTGAGTAACCAATGCATCGAACGAATCGACAATTGCGCTCATAGTTTTTGATATCGTTTCGTCCGCCGAAACATGAATGTGTGTAAGTGTTCGAAATGATTGGTAATCGCATAAATATTAGGCATCGTTCGACACGCCATTCAATTAATAATTATTTTATTTATCGTCGAATAATTTAAATAAATTGGTTTCAATGAACTAGGTATCATTGTTTATGTGTGCGTGTGTGTTGTTTTTGGCTCAAGTTGTAAAATAAATGTTATTGGCGTGTTTCACATTTGATTGCTATTATATTTACCGTCAATTAGTAAATTGTTCATAAACATCGACAAAATTCCGTTAATTTTCATTTAGTTTCGCGATGATGTGCTTTTTTTTTGCTCTTTTGTTGTTGTTGTCCAATGGTTTTGTATATTTACAAAATTTCTTGTTTTCCATGCCGTGTGCGGGCTTTCGAATGCTTTTTCCTCTGCATCGCACACATTTAACCGTGACGGCGGTGATGATGATGATGATATATGACCACATTTTATGTCATTTGTTGCGTTAAAGTTGATTTGTTCATCATTATACGATCGATGTCGAGTTCGTGCGCGCGCGTTCATGTCAATCGACGACTAACAACCGATCAAAATACGCGAAAAATGTCATTTATCATCGCCATTTTGTGATAAAAAAAACACAAGCAAACCACGCGCTTATATCGAAACCGATGATCGATTGAACTTTCAGGTCACTGTGTCATGCATTCTGTGTGCTTTTTGGTTTGTAATAATAAATTGTTGTTGATCCAGATGTATGTATATGTTGGATATACAATGATATATTATGACAAAATTCAATTCGTTGCCAATGAACGATTGCATGTTACATGCATTTTATTCAAATGCTGCAACAATTCAATTGCACTATGAGATGAGTGGAATTTTTGTAGCACATATGGCTGTGATAGCGCACTTACCCATTGACCGATGCCAAATATATTTACGATCATCAAATTGAATTGCATTTTTATGGCCAGTGGTTACTGTTTTTTTTTCTTCTCGAATCACCTTCCCATACCAATGCACAAAGTTCACTGGATGAATCGACTCGAAAACAAACAAACACAACAAATTTTGTCATATAATAAAATTCCATTGCCGTGAATTGAGTTCTCTTCTTTTCGACTGGTGCACATTTAATGGATGTGACGTTATTCCATCTTCCATTTTCATAACCTTTCGTCTCTTATGCATTCGACCAGTTCTATTTAAAATGTCTGAATAAATTGTTGAATTACATGTGTCGACAATTAGCAGAACATTTTGAAACAGAAAAAATAGATTGTGGTGTTTACACACACCCAATACGCGATGAATGTATGAATCGAACGATGAAGACTAACACAATGCCTTGATCAACCAAAAATAAAGTGATTAAATTGCTGTTGACAGACACATGAATTTAGGTAATGGTTACATTTGAATATAAATCAATTCATATGGCGGCCAAATACGCTAGTTCGACGACATCTAGCCTAATTTGTTTACGATTTGTTTGCTTGCTATTCTTCTTCTTCTTATTATTTTTGTCTTCAGTCGTCTTTTCTTTTCTTTTGGTTTCGTTAATTTTACATGACATTCACAAATTGTCCGTTAATTAACCGAGGCAGCATTGACGAACTAATGGGCGAAACAATACAAAAAACAAAAACTATCGATATATGTGAGCGCCCGGTTTTTAGTTCTAATGTAAATTAATACCCAGTGTATTTGAAACTAGGTATATATTTCATGTGTGCCTTGATTTTTCCCCGTTTCTACACGAAGATGAAAAAAAAGCAACACACGTTCGCAAAGCGTTTCGTTTAAAAATGCGACACATAAAGAAAAAAACAAATTCATGCTTTGCTCGGAGATTTCCTCACGTGTTGTATTGCAATAAATTCATTTTGACTATGTTGCTCCCATATGCTATTGCCTGTCTCATCATATATATTGAAAATGGCATTGCAAGCGTTATTTCGGGCTGCATAGAATTGCTTTTATAATTGCATTGATTGTTTCAATTGCCTCGTTCGAATTTCGTGTCTTCAATTCCACTTAAAACGCACCTCTGTGCAACAGGGAACTGTTGCTCATATTGATCGTTGTTGCTGCCATTGTCGGCCGGTATATTCAACGGCGGCACAAACTGGTTTCGGCCCGTTCGATGCTTTCATACAGTTTTATAACAAATTAAGTAATCGATTTTTAAAGATGTGTATGTGTTTCATCGCTCTCTTTCTTTCTTTTGAGATTATCGTTGCTCTCGATTATTTTTTAAGTGCAACTTAAGTCTCGGTGCGTCTCATTGTGTGTTTTTTTTGGGCCCATATGGACGGAATAAGGACAAATCAGTTCATGACGCACACATGATCATATTAAATTACAGACCACACTTGGCTTGTCACACATTTTGATCAACAGAGAATACTTATTAAATATGGCTACAATAAAACTCTGAACCTAGGAATTGTTTTATGAATGAAATATATCGGAGATTCGTTGAAATAGCAACTGATTCACGTGCATGTGTGTTTGGTGATCTTGAAGGAATTTTCTTCGATGAACAACGATTCGATTCAAGGGCAATAAAAATGTTAATGGCATGCTTTTTTATACCTTTCGATTTATATATATATATGGTGGCGTTGAATGATGATCATGTGAACTTTGTCGTTGCCATCCGAAGTGCTCAATGTAAATTGACGACGATGAAAAAAAGCCATTCATGTTTATTGAATCTATACATAGTTGCATGTGCACAGTTGGCATTAATTAGAACGGAGATTGTAAGCGAGAAAAATAATCATAAAATATTCTGGCCACACTTTTACGATTCGAAACTGCTATAATATTCCAAAATTCATAAAAGCGAGATAGATGAAAATTCCATCGAATTTTGCATGCACATACACGCGCATTCTACCGTTTGAATATTAGAACACGAATAATGCTAGAATTTAATGTATGTGTGTGTATCTTAAAATATATGTGCGATGCCACCAGAAAGTGAAAACAATCGCGAAAAAAAAAAATACAAAACATGCTTAAACGAAACCAACCAAACTGACAGCCAACGAGAGCGAAAGTGTAAGTGAGAGATAGAGAATGAGATGGCAAGACCACGTGTCTTACACATACACCACCAATGGAATGAGCATAGCAAAAAAAGGAACAGAAATAATACATCGAAATGAATAAACCGAATTCATTACAAAACATAATTATGGGAATTTACCTTACATATTATTTATAGTTGTATTATGCACACGAAAAAAAATCGACCCGCTCGTAAATACATTGCCTCTTATTTATCTGGTGTTGTTGGTGCTGAAAGTATGACAGAGAGCCGGTTGGTATTCGCATCCCTCTCTCTTCCTCTCTATCTCGTGCGCGCTCTTTCATATATATTTTTTTTTCATTTCGTGAACACATATTTATTATGATTCGTATGCATTGAACCGAGTGAATAAGACAACAACAACATAAAATCGCAACATGTCGGCGTGTGCGCAAACGTGCACTCACCAAAAACAGAAAATCCAAACCAAACAAAACAAAAGAAGATATTGTATGTGCTGGGCTTACATTTTTTTTTATTCTCTCTTGTTTCTGGGTCAAGTAAAAAGAATTTCCCAATTAGTTTAATTATTAGCATAAAATGGAAATAATGCAAGCGATATCGCGATGATGCGAAAGAAAGAAAGAGAGAGATTTTTTGTTGGTTCGTTGACGACTATAAATCATTTATAGCGGTTTAAATAGCAACAAACATGCATGAATCGAATATAATTTAAAAATTCATAAATATCGTATTTAAAAAAATGCGCTCAAAAACGCGTGTTAGAAACAACATTTTGCTCATCCAAAACGATCGTAGTTTTTTTGTGGCGTTTTTGACATGTCTTTTGTTTTTTTACTGTCAATGATTTTGTGACAGCTTTTGATCAAAACTGGAGCTCAAAGTCGAAATTTGAAAGTGAATTTAACAAGTTTACATTCATGATTTATATAATTTCCGATTTATTTGCCACTAATTCCGCCATCGATGGCTAGCAAAGGTCAATCGACGATATTTCAAGCACTTCTTTTCTCTCTCTCTCTCTTCTCTTCCTCTTTCTCATTTAAATGCGATTCATAATCCCTGTGTTTATATATTTGAAGAAAAAAATCGTGATTAATTCTAAATTTGCACGTGTTTTTTTGCCATTTTCGATAAACATTCGCACAATGTGTGATAAAGTGTTAAAAGAGCAAGTAATAAAATTTTCACGAACGAACCGTTGAATAACACAAAACTGATTTATTTGATTTGTTTTTCGACTCTTGTGCATGCTGTAAATGATTGTTATGCTTCATTTTCTATTTTTGCGCTTCTTATTTGAAATTTACATAAATCAAAACAAGTTCGTTCATTTGAAAAGTACAATTCATGCAATTTTGTGCCCGAAAATTATGCGAATAGAATTGAAAACAAAGTGTGAACGTTCGTCACCAATAAAACGATTGCCTTGTGGTTGATGAAACATTTATGCTCTCAAAAAAAAATAAAATTGTAGGTCATTGATTTGTTTAAACGATGAACAAGCAACATTTTTTTGTTTTTTTTTTTTTTTTTTTTTTTTTTCAATTGATTTGTTTTCTTTCACGCTTTGTTTTCGCTGTCATTTTCTTAATTGAGAAAACGTGCACTTTCGACTCGATTGATGAACTCTGGGAAAATTTACATGATTATTTATGGTTGACTTACATTGCTAGGGCCACAAGCAACGTGTTAATATAACGAACATTGTTTGTTTTTAAATAAGAAATGTCACCACTGAATATGCCATTGTTTTTTTTTAAATTATGTAAACAGTTTTGTTTATAATTTGTGTATGTTTTTTTCATCTTTTTCTCTGCAGGAATGTAATGTTGATTCAGAAGTTTGCTGCCAAGTTCGTCAGCCAACACCAGCACCAACTCGTCCAACACCACCACCATCCCGTCCAACCTATATTCCACCAGCACCGCCAACCCCTGCACGTCAATTGCCAACACCATGCAATGACCGTAACTCAGTCTGTGCACCAGCCAACCAATGTTACAATGGAGCCGTTTCACGTGGCAGCCCATATGCATCTCGCGCCCCGGTAAGAACACACACACGATTTTCAATTACATAATTACGATTTTGAAAATCCAGTTTAAAGTGCGCCACAACAAATCGCGCATAATAATCGCACATAATTGAATGAGATGTTGTTTTTGTAATGCGTCACAATTTATTTATTTGTTTATTTAATAACTATAATTATAATAATTGTGTCCTTCAATTCAAAATACACCCGGATGTTATCCCACATACACACCAAAACAGAAGATACTGACCGTACTCTCTTGAAAAAATGAGTCTATCGTCATATTGTGGGTATCGAGTGTGTCATCTTTTATTTATACCTATACGGGATGTTGTTATCTCCTCTTTTAGTTTCCACACATTAAAGCACACATTGTTGTTAATTATTCGCACAATATCGCGCTTATGCCAAGTGGACGGTGAAACCATTCCAACCAAAAATGAAACAGGAAAAAAACCATCGAATCCCATTTTGATTATGATTATCGTTTTTTTTTTGCTCTTCTCATTCGGATGTTAAATTAATTTGCACGTATTTTATGTCCGACTTGTCCACACAAATAAATTCGGTTACTTCGCACCGTTTCACACAAAACAATCTTAAGCATCGGAAGAACAATTCAATTGTTTTCTTTTTCGTCTTCTTTATAATCAAGCGTCATTGTACAGATATTAAAGAAATATTGAGTATCGTCGCCACTTTTATGATGTGACTCCATCGCATCACAGAATAAAGACGCATGATGCTCTCTCAAGGTCTAGGCCATTTGCATGTTTTATACATATTTCAAAGTTTATAAACACGTGTGTGTATGTGCACAGCGCATACATTTTTGGATGGCTTACTTCGCCTAATCAAAATTATATCACCATTTGTGTATTGTTATGATATTTTATGATCGTGGTCAGGTTCACAAAGAAACGAATTTAAAAAAAACCATCTAATTTGGTTAGATTTTTTTTTCATCCAAAATCAACTTTCACAACGTTTTTACGCACACTTAAAGTGTGTTTTTGTTATTCGTTAGCAAAATTTCAGTATATATGATGTCATCAGCATCATTAACGCAAAAGAACAAATCTGTGATAGCGTTAAATACATATCTTGATTTCAAATCCAAAGCATAAATGGGAAATTAAAAAAAAATTAACAATAGAAAAGTGATTCGAGATAAAATCGAAACTTTGGTGTTATCTCATTTTGTGATCGGTATGTTCACACTATGGTGATTGTGCTGTCCATACTATTGCAGTGACGTGCTTCACATTCGTTGTTGTTTTTTTCTTCGTTCCGTTCATTCTGAGTGATGCCGGTTACGATAAGTCATTTGCATATTTCGAATAGTAAGCAAATTGCTTTTTTTATGTTACATTTTGTCCATTCGTTCGCTGATTGTCATCTCTGATTACATATCTAATAATTTTGTGCATTTTGCAACAACAAAAAAAACACAACTCACAAACACCGTAAACTCAGCAACATCTGTTTATTGTTTTGGATTTGTCATAGAAACGTGTGTGGGTGCAACGATTAACCGCTCCTAAATAAAAAAATTCTATTCTCATACATCGCATCGTAAAACATGGTCATATAATTGTATTCGATGGGGTAAGAGCAATAATCGTTAATTTTAATGTCAAGTCGATGTGTCAACTCGTCGATTTAAATGTGTAAGGAAAATTGGCTCGGCAACCAATCACCTAATCAAATCCGATCAAATGTAACAATTACAAAAATAAAAACAAAAAACTGCAGAACAAAAATGATGACAGCTTAACCGCATCCAAAAAAAAATGGAACGATGAAAAAAAGATTGGGAAGAAAATACCATCGGTAAAATTAAATGAGATTCAAATTGAAAAGGTCGATTGACCAATAAAATGTTTGTTTATTCACTCCATTCTCAATTTCCGTATTGGTTGAAAGCAAAAAAAAAAACTTCATTTTTATGATGTGATTTATGAAGAAACAACAACAAAATGAACAATTCAAATAAAATAAAATAAGAGCGAGACAATGATATGCAATGAAAAAGATATGCAAAACGATGCCTTAACGAATGTTGGATCTGGCTTAGCGGATTTAAGGTGTTGCTATCGATTCACAATAAGAGGCCAATACATGATGCAATATCTTAAAAAAAGCCGTTGAATGATTTAGATTTGTGAGATGTTCTATTTTAAATATTGAATGGCAACATTCCCATTTGATGCACATCAAATCAAGTTCAATGGTTTTGAATATTTATGATGACTTTGGTTGAATTTGCGATTAAGCATATATCATATACAAAGTAGTATAATGAATTCAATACTAATGCGGTCATTTCGTTCCCATATCAGCACCAAAAATACACAAAGCCATAAAAGTGATGAACAGAAAAAACATCTTTTTTTTTCCGGCTTAACCTTTTAAACACCATCAATTTAGAATTTAACATCTTTTCTTAGAATAGATTTCATTAAGGAAACGAACCTCATTTTTTTATAAACACACAGATTTACGCACTACGCATAATCGTTGATGTTGTCAATATTTCCAGCAACTATTTTTTTTTGTTCATCATATATCTATTGAAAATATCGAGAGGAGAGTATGTTTTTATTCAGACATTACTCAGCAATAAGCGCTGAATAACATACTCTCTTCTCGATATATTCAATAGAAATGTGACACTAGCAAAAAAAAACACTCACACACATTTTTAAAGAAAATGACAAATCAATCAATCGACTTGGATTAAGTTAATCGATTGTGTTTGCATAAGACACCACTGGAATGGATTATGATATTAAATCGTATAAATAATTATAACCTATCGATGAAAATCAATCGAATTTTGCATACAGGCTCAACTTTGACTATGGTTGACGCTCATACACATTGAATTACCACTAGTTTCTTCTAACTAATCCTGAATGCGGGCCGATATTTAAACCATTGCAAATTATTTCGTAAAATATTATTCAACAAAATATTCGGTATGTGTACAGAAACTAAACGGATAGTGGGAGCCATTCCTTTTTTTGTTCAGGCATCGCAGCCAGCATCATAGTTTAAACAGCGAAAAAACAATAACAAAAAATGTGGTGCAACATTCATTGAATATTATTATTATTATGCATGAAATGTTTTGCGCTTGTAATCCGACACACAGAATTCGATAATGTCGAATCATCCAGACAAACAGATAACTGGCGCACGCAAAATACAATTACTGTTTTCTGTGTGTGTTGTGAAAGGGGAATTATGTAATAATATTCGAGGCTGGACTGAGAAGAAAGAAAAATAATAATACACATAATGTTTCAATCAATCGTAAACAGCGGCAGCAGCCCCACAGCATATGTGTTTTGGGTTAATTCCCGCATCTAGTTAGCATATTTGTCGAGTTCATGCTCTCTGAAGCGCATAATCTTTGTCTAAGACCGTTGTGACTTCGATGGAGTTTTTTCTTTCGAATTGCTATAGTTTCGATGATATGTCAATTGATTTGAATGAGAAAGAGAGAGAGAGAGAGAGAGAGAGAGAGAGAGAGAAAAAGAGCGGAAACTTGAAATGTCATGCACTTTCAAATTGCTTTATCACATCAACGAACCATTCGAAACTGATCGACCACGATGAAACGAAATTTGTATTTTTTTTTTCATATAATTCTTTGTGTTTACGAACAGATACTGTAATGTGACAACCTAAATAATAATATGAAGATGTGTAGGCCAATTGTAGATGATTTGCCACAATAATCCCTCTCAATTATTCATAAATTACGTTTGCGGTTTAATTGCAATAAATTTAGCATTAAATCTCTCTGTTGTTGTCGTCTTTTTTCCGTTTAAAAAAATATTATTATTTTTTTGCGAATTAAAGCAAGAATGAGTGTGCGTGTGTACAAAAAGAAGATATTGTGGCAGACGACATTACATTGAAATGAACATTTTTACCTGATGTAATCGAATTGTGTCTGTTGTCTACATATTCTTGTCCCCATGCCATTGACTTAGTAAGTTCGCTTTTTATTTTTGCGCATTCAATGTGCTAGCGCACTCACGCTTTTATTTTTGCTTTGGTGAACCTACACACAAAATATGAATATATATTTCCAGAATAATAATCAATAAATGAAATTAGAATGGAATTGTCAAATCATGGTTCGTTCACTTTGCGGTCGTGCATTGGTGAATCATCGTTGTCGTCATAAATATCCAAGAAAACAAGCAATTTCAGAAAGTTTGGAAATTCATTGGAATTTCCGCAACACACTGCATGTAAATATGACGAAGAAAATGGAATAATAACGATTCATCTGACATTGAATCCGTATTATGTAACCACATCTGTCGATCGGTTGTTGTTTGGTATACCCGCCCAATTCCTCCGTGCCCAGTGCATTCAGTCCATTCTGCAAGACAATTGCACATACTGAAATTTAGATTCGACTCTTTTGTTTTCGGTATTAAATCAAGTCCAAAATGGAGTATCACACAAACCGAAATTTCTACAGAAAAGTAAGCGAAAAAAAAGAAGAAGAATCACACAGAAAATATTTACTTTAATTCGATGACACCGACATTCTTCTCCATGCACAATATGGATAGATGTGTATATCTAAGCTCATTGCCCATTATATAATCGCCATGGATTTTGTAGTGTAGCACTTGTTGTGTAGAAATCGAGCGCGCTCTTCCATTTGTATAAATGAATAAATAATAGCTGGCGATAATAAAAGTGTCGATTTTAATTAAGCGATTTTAACGCAATCCACTTTATTCGAACGAAGCATTTCACAATTTCATTCCATCTGAAAATGTGGTATGGTGGCTTGTCGATGATATGTGCAAGTATTTTGTCGTATGGTGTGAAACACCGAGAGAGAGAGAGAGAGAGAGAGAGAGAGAGAGAGAAACGAATCCGAAAAGAGAAATATACTTTGTATTTGGTGCAAGATTCGGTGGACACATCTTCAAATTCCATATGCAATAATGGACGAATGTTATTTATTAAGGTGCTTTTGCAATAACAATTTACCAGACACAATATATATACACGCAGCAATTGCGCGGCCACTGTTGATGATGATGATGCGCTGTGTTTCTGTATTTTATGCATTTGACTTTTTACATTTTATCATTCACATTTTGAAGGGGAAATTCGATTTAAAGCTGGCGCTTCGCTTAATGCAGCCCACCACGATAATTCAAACTGTGAACTCACTACATGTTATTTCTTATTTTCATGTTCATTTTTTTGTTTGTTTGTTGTATTAAATTTGGCGAACCATACAAAATGGTGCCACATTCGCTTGCGGCCGCACCATCAACTATGGTCAATAAATGCATCGTCGTCTCTCCTCTCATCGGTTCCAATACCGATATCTGTGTGTGTGCGTCATCAATATAATGCCATTGTCTATAAACTTCTTTACTTTGGCCGTCGCCGTGTGTGTGTGTGTATGTTAAATCATGACTTACAGATAATTAGATAAAATCTCAATAAAGTAGCAAATGTGGCAGTTTTACTTTGCCGCCAACTTTTCATACACGGACCTTTATGCTCTATCTCTAGCTCACTTCATCCCATTCTCACGTCGCTTCTTTTATACAAAATGCATGCGGTGCAGCATACATTTTTATGCTTCTTTTAACTTTATTTATAATGTCACCGTCTGTAACCTATTTCAGCGCTGAAGCTTATTTAAATCAGTGGCTCACAAATTGTACACTGTACGATTTGGTTACGACATTCAAATGCATATGAAGACACATCGCATTGTATACCGTTTCAAGTAAATTTAAATGAATACAAGGGAACAGAAAAAAAAAATGAACCGCCGTAAAATGAACGTTGAAGACGACAAATCTCGACAGTTAGAATGAGAACAAATTTTCATGCAGCACATTTGTGACTTTTGTGATTCACACAACCAAACGGATAAACAGTATAATTGTCACCAATATATTGCTGTGCTCGGAATGTCAAGCAACGGAATGTTTCTAATTAATTCTCTCAAGTTTTTCTTCTTTTTCTATATATTTTTTTCTTATTCTTGGAAATCTATTCTAGCCTTTCAATTAGAAGAAACCAAAATGCTGAACTTTTAACAAAGAATAAAGAGATATACACCAAAATCAAATTCATAACGTTAATTACTAGAACCGGAAAATAACCAAAATTCGATTACTATTTAAGTCACACAAAACTTGTCCTAATTAATTAAACACGCGACGATACGGTTGTTGGCTCGCCTTCATATCTTTATTCACAGTCCATTTAAAGAGCGATCAATTTAGATAAAACCAAAAAAAAAACCACGCTCGTATATTTCAAATATGTTCATATTTATGACGTGTGTGTGTGCTTTTTTTCAGCTGTCCTGTTCTTTTTGTTCGCGAAAATGGCTTTAAAAATAATAGTGAGAATTGTATTTCTCATCATATTCCATGCACAGGCATTCAATATTTTACGAACGCTATTTTTTGTGTGCAGCGTACACTTCTTCACATTCATTTTCAGTAGACACAGTGAGTGAATCGCTGACGATGGGCGAGCAAGTGAGAGAGTTGACACAGTTTTTTATATGCGAAACAATCGTTGCATTTATGATGTTTGTGTGTATGTGTGACTTTTTTCAACACCTTTTGTACAGTCATTTATCAAATTAAGCGTTAATGCTTAATGTATACATATAGCGCCCAACCTTCAAAGTTCAAATTGACGATCCGATGCAATGGTTCAATTTGCATAGAACCCTTTGATTAAGCACTTTTAATTTGCTTTTTTCTTTCGTTGCATCGCTTAATCGGCGGATACGAATCACAACACCAAATGTGAAAGGTGAAAAGCGCGAATAAAAGATAAATCTATTCGCGCTTATCACTTTGCCAATGAATTAACGATACTTGCATAGGTATTATATAAAACGCCGTTAAACTGGAATATATACGCAAGCAAAGAAAGAAAATAAGCAGCAACCAATTCACAAAATGCCATTTCGTTGATAATTTGTGTGCATTAAAGCCACTCATGCTCATGATCTCGCTGTTACGCACATATCATGTGATTGAAACAACGTGCGATCCCTGGCTGCATGCATAAATGCTGCATTGTGTTTGTGTATATTAATACTGTATAAATATAAAAAGGTCATCGAGCACGTTATGCTATACTCACAGTCAAAAATAGCAAATCATTCTTTCTCCACAATGCTCACACACACACTCACATTACAAACTCTCACATCATGCATAACGATTAAAAGGCAACAAGCATTCGATTACGATGGGATTTATTCTTTTTCTGCACCAAATGGGCATGCAGCAACACACACACAACAATTTGACATTGCATGATGACTGATTCGATTTAACAGCGCAACAACGTCGATCGTCTTGTTGCTCTTATGATGATTATCTCATTATTTTCGAATTGTATTTGCCCGGCCAAATGTTTCTTGGTTGACAATGAAGAAAGACACATCAAATCAAATAAAAATTAATTGATGCCAGAGAGTCATAAATGTGTCTATGTATGCCAGCAAAACGATCAAACACGACATCGAACCGTACTCTTCATCATTAAAAGTTCAAATATGCATTTTGTTGCTCACAGACATTCAGTTCATATATTTAACATTTTAACTGCATAAATGTTTACATTTGATTCGGCTTTGATTGAGAATTCGATAAAACTTATGTTAATCAACGAGCATTCGTATGGAATTCGGTTCGTGCATGAAAATGTCCCGAAATAATGTTAAATTTGATCCATTGATTGATACAAAATATGAGTGATTTATGAGAAACATCCAGCCGTAAAGATCGTCAAATTGTGTCTTTTTCTCAGGATTTGAATTTATGGTATATTTTCTTTAAATTCATTTTCTTTTCGGATGATTTCGGAATTAATAATTAATTCGGAAAAAAATTGAAATGTAAGAAAAAAAATGTATGGAAAAACACTTGGATTAAAAATTCAATCATTCGCTCACCGTCAATTATGAGATCGAATCCATTAAACACATATATAAAACTGTTAACACGCAACTATAACTGGGTCGCCGACTTTCGTGGTAATAATTTGATATCGAAACAAAAGTAGCAAATGAATGCGATCGTTTGATGATATACTTGCCAAAACATCAACGAAATATAAATGCAAATCTCGAAAAAAAATATTGATAAATGCGTCATTGACTTTTGAATAAATTAGCTCGCACGCAGCTCTTTCACACCCGAGTGTGCAGCAATGTCATTCAGATATCCACAATGCACGAATGTGTTCGGTTAATGGGATATTTATTCATTTTCGATTTCGTTTACAAGGTTACCGGAATATTGATATTATGATCATCAGTTTGTCATAACGACTTAATCTCTCTTTAGTCACTTTGGCGAGAAGAGATTAACTTTTATGTGCATGCATATGTTCCGTCATTTCTTTGTATTGATTGTATATATGAGAATATATGAATATAAATGTTATTTATTAATTCAAGCCGCCCAATGACACTTGAGTTTCTAATGTTTTGTTTCTTTATTTGTCTTCTTTTTCTTTGCATTCAATAGGCTTCTCAATGTTTGGCACCAGAAGTTTGCTGCCGTGTTCCAGAAGAACCAAGACCAAATCCAAGCGTAACTGTTGTTTCATACCAACCAAGCCCAACCACACCACGTCCAGTTGTGATTACCAAGAGCCCACCACGTGTTAACAATGCATATCTTCCACCACAAGACAATCAAGTTGGACAAGGATCAAACCAAGTTGGCGTGGTTAATAATTACTTGCCACCACCATCTGGCGGCGAAGACCAAAAATCACCATCAATCCCAGACTACTCTGGTAGCTCAAGCAATAACCGACCAACAATCAATCAACAAGATGCCGCACCACAATTGCCACCAACCGCATGTCCAGCTGCCACCAATTGTACCGATATTCAATACTGTGCTGCTGACGGTACAATGTCAACCTCACCAGTTACATTGACGTCAGAACAAGAAACATATCGCGTACCATTGAGCCCATGCCGCGATGAATCGAAAGGAATAAGCCAAGGTGTCTGCTGCCGTGATCCAAACTACACCGATCCATGGCCAACCGATCTTTTGCGAACTGGCGCATTCGATGCAAATGCTCTCGCTCAAGCATTCGATGACGGACAATATCGACCAAACAACGGCAACAACGGCAATGGACGTAATCAAAGAGGTGAAGCACTGAAAAGTCCAAAAATCAATCCAATCAATCCAATCCATCCAATCCATACTGCATCTAGCGAACAAACCAAACAATACACAAATGCACCTTTCATTACAAACGCAATTCCGAACAATAATCAACCAATAAAAACCTCTGTTTCACAGCAATCGCCAAATCCCAATAAATTCCAACCAAATCAACAAACATTCAGTACCCCCTCTCAGTTTAACACACCAACACAGCAACAGCCACACTCCAAACAGCCACAATTCGTTCCTCAAAATCAACAGGCATTCTCTCAACCGCCGTACGCTCAAGCATCAACAAATCAAAAATTCGCTACAACACCAAGCTTCCCAACACCACCACCGGTAAAATTTTGATAATTCGAGTCACACAAAAACAACAATTATCAAAACATTATCAAATGACATATAATACACTGCTTATTTCTTAACTGTCGATATAACGACACATTTTGCTCGCTTTTATTATTATTTTTTTCATTTTAGCATTTTGCGATGCAGTTTTATTATTTGAGGTTTTACAATAATTTGACTGCATTTTAAATTTAGGTGAGCCAACAATATAAAGAACCAGGACAACCAAGCACACCAGCCATTCAACAACAACAAACCTATCAACCAAATCAACCTCAAACATACCCACCTCAATCACAATCACGAGGTTTTACACCTGATCAACCATCAGCGTTCCAACAGCCACAACAACCACAAAAACCAAATCAACATTTCCAACCGCCACAGCAACAAGCATTCACACCGGCCCAACCATCATTTACCACAACACAAAATTTCCAACCGCAACAACCTCAAGCATTCCAACCACAATCGCAACCACAACAACCAGCATTCCAACCAAGCACACCATCACAAAATCCATTCCAAACAAGCGCTCCAGTCCATGGAAATCAAATTGGAACATGCGCTGTTCGTGACCAAGTGAGTATTTAGAATCGAACCGTAACGTTTTATGCAAATTTATTCATTTAATTACAAATCAAAACAGCTTGGATTACCACGTGGAAATGCACCAAACGAAGCCGCTTTCGGAGAATTCCCATGGCAAGCAATGATCTTGAGAGAATCGACCAAAACAATTCTTTGCGGTAAATTCATTGAAATTAAAATAAATCACACTTAATACGAATAATACACATTCGAAATTCGGAATTTCAGGTGGTGCCATTATTGATCGTAATGTTGTTGCAACCGCTGCACATTGTGTTGATGGACTTCGTACACACGATGTATTGATCAAGGCCGGTGAATGGAAATTGGGTAGCACCGAAGAACCAAAACCATTCCAAACAGTTCGCGTTAAGCAAATCACAATGCATCCAGCTTATCAACCAACCAATTTGGAAAGCGACGTTGCTCTATTGCATTTGGAAAATGACTTGAAATACGACAAACATATTGGCCCAATTTGCGTCGATGAATCTGAATTGGAACCAACACAAGGTTCAGATGAAGAGTGAGTATTTTGAGAAATCAATTTTCAATATGAATTGCCTATCATTTTCAATTCAATTTCATTTTTTAGGTGCGTCACCTCTGGTTGGGGCAAAGAACAAATCAAATGTTAGTATAGCATTGAGATCAATTGACATCCTACATATATTCCATATGCCAATTCTAATTTCTCATGTTTCTAATTCAAATAGATCACGTTGCCGGTTCACTACCTCATTCAGTTGCAATCAACCCATTGTCAGCTGACGAATGTCAATCGTCATTGGGAACATTCAATGCAAATACAGCTGTATGCGGTCGTGCTCAAGGAAATCCATGTGAGGTTGATAATGGTAGTGCTTTGGCTTGTACACGTGGCAATGGACGCTACTTGTTGAAGGGTATCTACTCTGGTGAAACTGGATGTGGTCCAAATCAAGTCATGTCATTCACAAAAATGGATGTTGACTTTATCAAGGGCGGTAGCGCTCAAAAATCACTTCCAATCCAACCAAACACACGTGGTTCATTCAATGCACTACAACAAGAACAAACAAAAGCTGCATTCACAGCGTCAGCACGTGGTTTGAAAAAGTACCTACCACCAAATTAAAAACAAATCAACAACCATAATGTAGCAAAGAATTTAACCAACAAATCAAATTGTTAATCATCGAGCGAACATTCTCATTTGAAAAAAAAAAAATTAAAATCAATTCCATGAAAGCATCAAAAGCGATTCGAATCTATTCATCCAATGAGATTCTTTTCCGGTTTGTGCTGTTCACGCATTTTTTTCACGAAACACAACCACAATCAAATTTATATATTTCAGCTTAAGATTTTGTTTTTCAAATATTTGAATATCAAAATTAAATTAGTGCGTCATCACACACTCACACCAATCCATAATAACGGTTCAAACACATGAGGAAGGGAGAAGTAGCAATGCCAGATTATTACTTTAAAAAAAACAAATAACAACACCATCGAGGGAAGTTCTATAATTTAATTATAATTTGTAATTAAATTATTAGGTCAAAATGCATGATACTTGCTAAAGAGAAACATAAAATTATAGACAAAACGAACTGAGATAACGATAATCAAGAACATAGAATTTTCTTCTTTCTACAAAAAAAAAACAAACGAAAGCACACAAAACGCTAAAATTAATAAAATCACCCCTTTTATTGCCATCGTCCTTTTGACGAACAAAAAAAAACATACAAGACAATTAAGAAATTACAACCTTTTTTAGAAAAAAAATGAAAAATCTAACTAAATTTTTTTGACATATTCTTTTTTTATATTTTCCACCTTTTTTGATGATCCCTTTTTGTGTATGTTGAATAGTCTTAGTTAAGAAAATATCATGTATTATTTAATTTACATTTAATTTAGAAAACAGAAATAAATTGCGAAAAAACGATTATTTGTAATAAAATAAAAAAAAAACATGTTTTATCTTCATTTATACTCTAGGCTCTTTTCGTAACATCTGTTGATCTTCATACGTTGTTTGAATCTAATTACAAACAATTTCAGAAAACGTTTTGATAAGAGGAAAAGCAATAGAATTTGTACAATTGTATCTCTACGAAAAGGAATTTTAGTGAAAAATTTCTCATAAAAACGAAAGCAAATTATTATTGATATGAAATTGAACTGAAAATGATTTTGTTGTATGAACATTTATTTTATTCATCGATAGTTATTCAAGCAAGATAATAAAAAGACAATTTTTTTGTTTTTGTTTTAATATACATAGTTGATTTTAATATCTATCCAAAGTGGAATGACAGTATTTTATGCTCGGAAAAGAGTGTAAAATCTAGCCCTCATTAAAAACCAAGATCTATTGATTTATGATAGCGATTGCAATATAAATGTTCTCATTTCATTAGGAACAATCTATGACCTGGACTTCCTCTTACTACTCTTTGCTATTTCGGCTCTCGAAAATGAGAGATCTGTTTTGAATCCAAACAAAAAATCTACATATAGTGGCCGAACCCAACGATTTTCATCAATGGCGTCGCCAGCTTCTTTTAGACTATTATACATTTCGTCCTGGTTTCTTTTGTATGTTTCCAAACTGGTTGATAATTCTATTATGTTATTAGCCATCTTTTTGATATCATTTAACTTATTAATAAATGATTGTGCTTCTATAGTAAGCCAACGTTTTGCATTAACCACGTCGGTCATTTTTTTCACACTTGTTTGTTGTAATTGTGCTCTTCGATTAAATAATCTCAAATCAATGTGAGTTTCTATCATCAGAATTTGCTCATGATTCATTGGTTTCTTTTGCCATTTTCGGTAATTTTTCATCAGTGAAGTAGAAATATCACTTAATTCACCTTTATCTGCACTCATTCCATCAACTATTTCCTTTGATAGTTTATTTATCTTCTCTTCAGTCTTAAAAATATCGTTTTTTACCGAATCTAGTGCATTCGTATATGGCGTGTGAGGCAATTTGAGTATTTCAAATGATAATTTTAGGGTTATGTTAGTACTTCCTTTCCAAGGTTCAAATACATCAGCAACCTCTTCAGTCATTTGAATGGTTTGGAACAATGGCATCAATTTTTTATTCCAATCAATTTCCACATATGCTGCCTCAGCTTTAGCCTTTCGATGAAAGTGCTCAACTATTTCTTTATACGTTGTTTTAGACCAAGCCTGTATAAAGATAGAGATATTAAAAAAGATAATGAAATATCAGCCAGTATTGTCTGTTGTAATTTGTCTCACCTGATCAAAAACAAAAATCGACACAAATATATAAAATAGAAACCGTTTCATCTTTTTCATCAAAACAAAAATGACATTTAATAAAATTATGAACTTAGCACCAACTTTTATACAGATGGATTTTGAAAAAAATTACAAGAAACATATGTGATATTTTTTTAATTGCATTCTTTACCTACTTTTTGAATAACGCGTAAGTAAGTATTTGTTTTATACAGGGTGATAAAACGACTTTAACTCGCAATAATTTAAGTTTTATTTTAAATAAATACATTTTGAAATATTTTTCACTCGCGCTGCGCTAAGCATTCTCTTACATTTTATTTACAAATTTTATAAAACTGGCCGTTTTCTTCATTGACACCTATATAGCTTTCGACTAGGAACTTCAATAGCCAAAATGATCAACTGCACCTACATACGTCGTTTGAATCTAATCACTTAGGGGGGAGACACCAAGAATAAATTCCGAATCCACTATATAAATTACTAATCCAGCTATTCCACTAATCCAAAAACACAAATGTGAAATCGAAACTATTTTTCCTATTCCATACACTGTTTCCGTCAAAAATGTCAATTCTGCTTTTCCGCACTATTCCACTAATCCATCAATAAACGTCAAAAGAAATGTCAAATGGATTTGAAGTGAAACAATTTTTGCTATTCCATGCACTGTTTCGCCATTCCACGCGAATCCATTCACAGGCGTTGCTATTTCATTGCAATTTCTCGAATCTTTACACTAAAAGTCTAATCCTATTCCACGTGTCTGCCCCCTAGCTGCCTAGAAGTAGATCTTTATAAAACTTTAAAACAAGTTACAAAAAACATCAAATAAAGATGTTTTTTCGTTTCAAGACACCAAATCGTCTTGATAAGATGAAAAACAACAATGTTTGTACAATTGGGTCTGTAGAAGCTTAGCATTGACGTCAACAAAAAAGAAACTAAAAAAAGTGAATAAGAACAGTAGAATTGTTTAATTATCGAATTAACCTTTAAGAGCAAATATATTATGTTAAAATAGTACTTAAACAACTAAATAAAAAGACGTTGATTTTAGAGAAGTTGATTTTAATATCTACCCAAATGACAGTACAGTATTTAATGCTCGGAAAAGAGTGTAAAATCTAGCCCTCATTAAAAACCAAGATCTATTGATTTATGATAGCGATTGCAATATAAATGTTCTCATTTCATTAGGAACAATCTATGACCTGGACTCCCTCTTACTACTCTTTGCTATTTCGACTCTCGAAAATGCGATATCTGTTTCGACTCCAATCAAGAAATCTACAAATCCTGGCCGAACCCAACGATTTTCATCCATGAAGTCTCCAACTTCTTTAAGAGTTTTATACATTTCGTCCTGGTTTCTTTTGTATGTTTCCAAACTGGTTGATAATTCTATTATGTTATTAGCCATCTTTTTGATATCATTTAACTCATTAATAAATGATTGTGCTTCTCTAGTAAGGCCACGTTTTGCATTAACCACTTCGATCATTTTTCTCTCGCTTATTTGTTGTAATTGTGTTCTTCCACCAATTACATGGAAATTTAAATGTTTTTCTATATTCTTCATAAGATCGTCATTTATTAATTCCTTTTTCCATTTTCGAAAATTGTTCATCACTGAAGAGGGAACAGCACTTAATACACCTTTATCTGCGCTCATTCATGCAACTATTTCATTAGATCAGTTTATTTATCATCCCTTCAGTCTGAACAATCTCTTTTTTTACAGAATCTAGTGCATTCGTATATGGCGTGTGAGGCAATTTGAGTATTACAAATGATAATTTTGCTGTTATGTTAGTAATTCCTTTCCACGGTTCAAATACATCAGCAACCTCTTCAGTCATTTGAATAGGTTGGAACAATGGCATTAATTTTTTATTCCAATCAATTTCTACATATGCGGCCTCAGCTTTAGCCTTTAGATGAAAAGAAATACTTTATACGTTGTTTTAGACCAAGCCTGTTAGGGATAAAGTTATTTAAAAAAGTTAAATGGAATGTCAGACAGTATTGTCTGTTGTAATTTGTCTCACCTGATCAAAAACAAAAATCGACACAAATATATAAAATAGAAACCGTTTCATCTTTTCCAACAAAACGAAATTTAATAAAATTTTGAACTTAGCACCAACTTTTATACAGATGGATTTTGAAAAAAAAATACAAGAAACATATGTGATATTTTTTTTTATTGCATTTTTAACATTTATTGAAAAACGTGCTCTTCTAATCAAGTAATTTTGCTAAATTAACTTTGATTACCTTTATTATACGTTGTACCGTTTTATTACACACAAAGTATAAAAAATACTAAAATTAAAAACGCCTCAATGTATACACAAGATGATTAACTCACTGAGAATTCAATTGCCATAATTTAAGTTTTATTTTGAATAACATTTAACTCATTTGCGGAGTAATTTTGTCGATGACGGGACTGTGCGGAGTTCGGCGGAGATAGCATGCAAATGCTGTGTGTACGAGTGCAACAGCATTCTTTGCTGTTCATAGATTTATTTTGTCCAATCGAACATCTTAGTAGCCGTACACACAGCTAAGTTACTAATCATCTGCGTAAGAATGATACACATAGAAGTGCTGTTACCCTCGCACACACAGAGTTTGTATGTCATCTCCGCCAAACTCCGCACAGTCCCGCCACCGTCAAAATTACTCCGAAAATGAATTATATGGGCATGCTTTGCAACATTTTTTTATTTTTTATTTCTTTTTGAAAATATTTTTAACATTTCACCTTGAAAAATTTCTTCGCAGTGATCCCCTTCGGAAAGAAAAAATGATAAGCATTGACTTGACAAAATATAATAAAAATGAATAATATTCAAACCATATTAGCCTTACTAGATGCCACAAGAGTTCATGTTAAGTTTTACATGACAGGGAATGAAAGTTTCAAAAAGTCATGGCTTTACACATCTCTTACTGCATGAATCCCATGGGATCGACTTATTTATAATCATACGAATACACGTGTTTCACACGAACACCACAATATGTTTTTTTCATTTCGAACAAAAGCTTACATTTAATTTAAAATGTTCATCAATATGGAATGGGAGTATTGTAGCCTGGAGAAAATATGATTTTAACTTTTTCATATACGAAGACGATAAAGGTGCTCCTCTATCTAAAGTTGACATAAAACTATTCTGTTTAACATATTTCATGTATCATCGATCCAATTTAAAGCCTGCAGAAAATGGTAAAAAATCACAATAAACGTTTCAAATTTTAATCCCAAAAATAATACTTTTTTAATTTTATTCAATTTATGAGAATTTTCTGAAATTGCCGTACATTTTAAATGTTGCTCCGAACCTACTCTCCGAAACTGAGAGTATAATAGATGAAGTTTTATGGATGCATGTCTTGCATACAAATTCCTTGATTTGAATTCTATAGTATTCACGTTTATCGTGAAAATGTAAGCAGCCTTTGATATTTCCATTCACACAATACATTTAACACTTTCATTCAATTGAATTTGCATACAAAAAGAACTAAACGATTGATAACATGATAAGTTTCAGTTTGTTCAACGAATCGATACATGTATTGCATGTAAACGACAATTCGTTTCGTTGTGTTTATATTTAAAAAAAAAATCATCGTCATTATCTCTCAAACTTCCCATCGAACAGAGAGTAATGAAGATAAAGTTAGATGAGTTCGGTGAGTCGAAATGCGTGCCACGGCATACTTTTACAAAATTCAATTTACGTTTTGATGAGCATATAAAATGATGTGCTTTTATAGTTCATAAACAAGTTAATTTTTATGCTTCCGTCTGCTAATAGATACATCACCCAAAACAGTGTTTCGATTGATGTTCTTCAAATATGCATATGTTCGATTGATGCGAATTATGGAACATTTTTTTCATTTCTGTCTGCTATTTTTCGCGGTCATTTTTTTTCTTTTGCCAACTTAAAATCGTGAGTCAAACTGTCTAATCAAATGAATGCTACATGCATTCATAAATTTTAGTGTGAAAGCCATCAATATCAAAGGCGAAAGTAGAAATTTTTTTTCAACGCAATATATGTTGTCTCGTGTATTCACAAACTGCCAATGTTTACATAGAATGAACGTTGTGCGATGACGCAATTTATACAGCTGAGAAGAAGAAACTGACATGAAAAATTCTTTCGCATTTTAAAAACCGATTTGGGTCAGTGATCAATGTGAATATAATTCTTTTTTTTTTCAGCGAAAAATGTAAACTTTATCTATATACAAAATTTGCAATAAAAACAACATGTATAACGAAGACAAGAGAGTGAGTGATACACAGTGCAATCATTTAAATTACCATAGAAAAGAAGAGTCCAAATTTCCTTGAGTCAATTGACAATCGCGTTAGTTCATTATTTTCCTTTATTGTTTTTTTTTTCGTTCTTCTGTTGTTTTGTGTTTTCGTTTTTTTTTCGCGATTATTTTCTATAATTTCGTTTCTTGGAATTTTGTACTGAAAGCGCGTCATTAACTATAGTTATAGCGCGACATTTTATATACTGACAAATTATTATTGTAACACATTTTAATGCTACAACAATAAACCTATATATTTTACACACTAAAATTGTATTCGGTTCACTGCATTGTAAATTGACAACGAAATGTGCCAATAGTAATTGCATTGTGCGTACGTTCATATGGTTATTTTATTTTTAGGTGTTTTGAAGAAGAAAAAAACAAAAGTATTAAAATTAAATGGCGATAAATACATTGTAAAAGTGTATCAGTGCATATATGTTTTTAAATAGATTTCAGCAAACACACACACAATCGCCGAAATAGAGGAATTTTCGCAAAATTACCGTACAATATTAAACATTATCTAATTGGAGCAATAATTTAATTATGTTATTTTTTTTCTTTTCGTTTTATGCGTTTTCATGTTTCACGGATACTTATAATCAGTGAAAATGTCTGAATGAAAAATTGTAAAGAATCATTCATATGAGACTGTCTTTTGATGATTGTTTGCCAGCGCATTAACACTTGTGCCAAACGAGCGCACGTTTGACGAGGCAACAACAAAAACTACACAAAGACTACACCGAACGAAAAGGAGAGAAGAAGAAAAAAAAAAACAACATAATTAATTAAACTCAAAGTATGAACATTTAAACGCTTTTGTTGCTAAATCGACCAAATTAAGTTGACAGTTCCGAACACAATTGTCGCTTCATTTCAAACAATAATTTGTTATGTGTTTAATGCGTCAAATTTTGAAGTAACAGAACAACGTTGAAAAAAACATACACATCGTACAGCACTCCAAAGCAGCACGATAACGAAATATAACATCAAATAGAAAACCACAACAAAAATACAAAACAAATAGAGAAAAAAACAGCAACATTTATTACCAACTGACACACATCATCACCATCCAAGTTCACACGCATTTCATGTTGCGCGCCCGGTGAATATGCATTCCGGTCGTCGCTTCGACGAATTCAAAAACGCACATCGCTTTTTTAAAAATAGACAACATTTAAAATGATGTTGGAACTATTTATCCAAATTCGTTAAAAATAGACAATATTCGGTTGAATAGTTGTTAATTTTCCTTTCAATGCGTTATCTATGATCTTTGACACATTCATATTAGGCTAATCTATGCCTGATGAAAGATTCTTGAACAATGAACATGTTCAAGAGTAGTATTGAATTATGTCACGAATTGAATGTAAATTGTCTTTCATTTTACAAGCTTTTTTACCCGAAAATTATACACTTTCATTTGATTTATTCCTGTTTTTTCCAAAAGCACACGATTTTCAATCGAAAAAATATGTTCATCTCTCGTTTTACATCAGTCAAAATATTTAATAAACTAATGAAAGATGTTCAATCGAAATAAAACTCAATTAATCTGATTATTAATTAAGTTGCCGGAAAACTTTGCTCATTTACTTAATCGTTACGTCTTGATTAAATTGAAACCACAAACCAAAAGAAAAATCCATTTTCTTCAATGAGTTATACAAACTAACCTTTACAAATTTACGTATTACAGTATCAAAGTTTTGTCATTTTATCTGTCGATTTGATTCATTGATACTGAATCGGTGCTTGACCCCGAATGATATTGTCAGTAAAAAAAAGATTCTGTTCGTTATTATTAGTTGTTAAACAAATGAGAGAGTGTGAAGCTCGGAAAACAACACAACGCACTATTTGACAATGAAGGGTTATCAAAATAGAGCGCAACGTAATCGACTCCATTTTAATTTATCTAATTTTTAAGTGATTTTACTATCGGTTTTGTTTTTGGCTTATTTTCAAAACAATAAGAGCGCGTGTGGTAACAAAAATGTTCATGATTTTTTTTTTATATTGATCGCCCCAAGGCAGTGAGACACAAAACACATTTTTGAACAACCGAATAGTAAAATGCCAGCCAATACAGGATGGATGGCATGAGTAAAAAAAAAACAACGGAATAATAGAAGCAGATATTGTTCAAAACTTTATATTTACATTTGGAAAATGTAGTCTCTTGTTATACGTCACCGCATCATCAAGAGCTTCTCTGCCTGTCTTTCGATTTCTATCGTTTCTTATGTGTGTGTAAGCTCGAATTACTTACGTGCTTGTTCAACATGCAGTCGGCAGCAACGGAACAAAAAAAGGAAGTGCTACACAACATACACTCTGCTAAGATATGCGTGTAATCGGTAAACGGTAAAACCGAGAAAAAACAGACTCACACACACACTTTGGATAGAATATAAGAAAAATGGCTCATCATTAAATTTTAACGACCGGCCATATATTCTGATTCGTTCTTGAGTCATGGATTAGAAATACAATCGGTTCAATTTGTTTGTTATTTTTGGTATTTTTTGAAAAATAGTTTTGTGATAGTTGGACAACATTTCATTTTCGCTATTGTTTGACATTTTCACCAAAAAAAATGGGTCGGTTATTTTTTCGCTCTCAGTTTCCATTTGTAATTTTTTATTTCTCTGGGTTTTGAATGAGGACAAGAAAAATGTGTAAGAATTGATTTTCAACCATAAGACCATTTAATAATAATGTCAATCCCGTTCAAAATATGCTGTCACTTCGACTCAATGTCTAGCATTTTCAAATCGAATCTGGCAAATTAGTTCTCTATACGCTTCGTTTGTAACGTGATAAACGGTTTTTGAATGGGGGACGGCTGCTGCTCTGACAAAGCGTATACACAAAACACAATTCGAAAAACAATTCATTTCGGCCGAAACAGCCGAATCACAATCAAAATGACGATGTACACTTGCGTGTTCATATCATTTGAAAGAGAGCCTCGTTTCTTTGCTCAGAACTATAATCCGAATGCGAACGGGTCGGGGGCGATACGATTATGTCTTTATGTGCCCATTGTACATTGGGATTAAATGGTAAAATGGTGACAATATATTCCGAATATCATAAGGCAAAAACAATCATGTCATCATTTCGATGCCGAGTGTGTACCACCGGAATGAAAGACAACAAAAGCTGGGAAGTGGAGAAAAAGGTTTGGGTATTACAACTTGATTTTTTTCATCACATTTGATCGTGGACAGAGTTAAACACTTTTCTTATGCAACACAACATCGTTTGTTGACTTCGGTGTTTGTTTCGGATGCAAAACCGGAGAATTTTGTTTGTAATGATGAGTAAAACGATACAAAAAATTTACAAAAAAAGGCTATGAATCATCTATTTATCAATCTACGGTTTAATTCTATCAACATGATGTGATGAGCAACATGTTTACGTGTGTAATACACGGCACAAATGTTGCACGACAACCCGAAATGTAAACCAATGAAAGAAAAACAATTCAAAACAATTGAATGTAAACAAATCAGAAGCGAACGTATACTTTTGATTTACTCTCACTATCGTTTGACAATGATAGCGACGTCATGAACGCATTACGTTTCATGACTCGGTTCATATGCTTTCTGATCGTTAAAATAGAATGGATGATACACACAACGCACGTGCAATTCAATGAAATTTACTTGCACCGTGTGTTTTCCGGAATCGAAGTGTGATGCTCAATCGGCAAATGCTTTCTCTTTCGCATTCAAAAAATATGGATAACATGTTCATCGACGAAGACGGCTGCAGTAACGGCGACAGTGGTGGCGGCAACGACGTCATCATCATTTGTGTAGTACGCATGCTTTTGCCGCGTATTCCATTCATATATGTGTTTTATTTTTTTGTCCATACACACAGTGTGTGTATATGCTGTCGCCGTTTGCGCGCTATCCCAACAGAGAGACAGAGAAGCGAGCTAAGCAAGCGAGAGCGCCAAGACAAGTAACACCAAAATTATATTTATATATTCGATATAACCGAATCAAACGAATATAGTATAGGCATCATATTGTTATTTTGCCGCTCGATATTGTTTGTTCTGTGGCTTTCTTGTTCAGTATTCGTACAGATACTGTTTCGACAACGCTGAACATACAACGGCTGCTGCTCGAACGAATTTTCGAACCGAAATAAAATTCTTGTGTGATATTCGATCTTTTCAAATCAGAATTAGAAAAAGACCGTTACCAAAGTTGTTTAACCATATTCGGTGTAAATAATGCCCGTTGCTTTGCCGTCTCTTGTGAACGCTTAACCGGGCGTAGTGTACGTACAATATTTTTTTTAATCACATCTTCATAATTATTTGTTTTTATTATTTTTTAAAATGAAAGAAAAAAATTGAAATTGCGTTCTATCTTGCGATCCTTATTATGAGTGAATGGTTTTTGAGCAAGCGTTTGAAATTCGATATTCGATATCATTCACTTAGGTGTTGCACACATAAAATTGGCGGTCGTTTTAAATCACGGTAGTGATTTTCAATTATACTAACACACCAAGATTCTTATGAATTTTAACGACAATTGTGTTCAATGAGTACTTTAAGATTATTGATGCCAATGCTTGTTGTAAATGGTTTCTGAGTGCGTGCAACTGACATATTCAGTTTCCGTTGTGCTTTTATTCAATCACTGCTTTAACTTGACTCTTAATTGTACACACTTGGACAGAGTAGCACACAATCGAAAGAAAGCACCCGGTGTACATATTGAGCCAAATCGTGTCAGAGTTGAGTAAAATCGGTACCGAACAACATCGTCCAACCACGTTCGACATTCATTTTCATGCATTTTGTCTAAATGGGTTTGTTGGCCAAAACGATTCACTCAATTCCGATATAAAATGTAATTATTTTTCGCTGTTGTTGTTCTTTGTGGCCACTTTTATTGCTTTTCATTTGACATGCAGGGATTACAACATCAAATATGTGTAGTGCGAATTCGATTGGTGGTTTTTTGTGTGTTATAAGTATTTTGCGATGAAAGCGCATCCTGCGGTCTGTTTAAATTTTGATAAAATTGCTGTTTTTTTGAATCACATGTTTTTGTTTTTAATTGAAATTTTATTGTTGCCGTACAATCAACATAACATTTAAAAATGTTATCACTTTCATTCGACAGAATTGTGAAAATCGTACAAACATGCTGAAAATTAAAATATTCAATTTACACAAAACAACGTTTTTTCTCGCTCTCTCTGTCGTTCTCTTAATGTTAATGAATATCATTCGTTAATGAAAAAAGGGAGATTAACTTGTTAGTCACAATGTAACACATTGTACAATATACGTGGTGATTGGAGATCTATCAACAGTAGAAGGATCATTTTCGGAGGCTTTTTATGAACGTTGTTAACATTAATTTTTGAGAGAAATGTGTTTTTTTCGACCATTTTTCCCATCTTTTCAGTTATGAATGGTTTCTGAATAAATTTTGCCGCATTTTTCGGTATGCGGAATGTGAGCAGAAGTGGGAATTGGTAGGACAAAGAAATTGGTGTAATGGAATTTGTTATTGTTGGTAGTGGTGTTTTTGCTTTCAAGTGGTTTAATTGACGTTCGTGTGATAAAAAGAGAGATAGAAAATGACGAAGGGTTAAAAAATAGCAACAGTTGCCAAAGTTATGTGTATCAGTAAGAAGAATGACTTTTGAATTGAGACAAACTTTCGGCGAGAGAAAAAAATAAATGTTGAAACAAATGTGTATAAACCGACTGTGTTATGAAAATATCCACATATAGATATGTTTTTTATTTGTAAATGCACTTTTGACATATTTTGTGCAGAAGAATTACGGTTCACATGAAATGTCATATTTTCTGTGTATATTATTTATGATATGGTTTGTGCGGTAAATTTTTCGAATTTTATCTACCATTATGCAGCATTTATATGAAAGGGTTCACGAAATTACACATCTGCCATATTTAATCTGAAATGTAGATTTATTGTGTCCTTATCGCTTCACATATTCGGTTTTTCGCTTTCTTTTCGTTGGATTTTTCCTCTTTGCTGTACAAAGTTTGGTTGACCTAATTGCGAACAGCGAAGAATATGGCATTTTTCTTTGAAAATGATTAGTTTGTATGTACAATCTAATGAAACTAATCTATATTGAATAAAAAAGAAACTAATTTAGTTTTGCATCGAATCAAATTAATCGCGCCATAGAAATTTCGCTACAATTTTCGATGAGAACGCAATCAAAACGTGATCAAAAAATCGATCCGACTCATACTTAGGATGGAAAAATACCTTAACAACTGTTTTACACTTCATACTAAAACTATACATCAATTTTAACCCGAATTCCATTCCGACAAAAAAAATCCATTTTGTTTGCCTCCCTACGGACACTAATTGTTTCTGTAAAAATCTATATAAAGTTTACGCTTTCGTGTTACCCGATCATTTACCATTCCACATATATCTCGCTTGATAAAGCAAATAACTTTTGCCAACATCTCGCCTCCAAAAAATAATTTACCCATTCGAGAGAAATAAATAGCATGTGTAGATAGAGATTGAACCAGCCGATGGACCAAAAATGTTTGTTATTTTCAACGAAAAATCGGATATCGAATTTCAAGTCCATTATATTTAATGCAAAACAAAACGGAATGTTGTTGGGATCGCATTTGTTCGAATGAGATTGAAAAGTAACTGCATGGGTAAACAATGTGATATGCCAAAAATCGAAACAAACAAACAAAAATGTTCGGTGTAAAATTGTTCTTGAACTTCCCATACTCTCTATATTATTTATAATGTATCAGCAGATTTATTCAATTGAATACCCTTTGAGCACCCGAAAAAAGTGCTATCCAACCGAACCACATACTCTCATAAACATGAGCAAATTCCGAAATGAGTTCAACCAACAGAAAAATGGTGTGAAAATCGTGCGTTGCGGTTTTTATAAAAAGATAGAACAAAGTAAAAAAAAGCGGCCGTTGTCGCTTTTTTAAACATTTCTTCTGTTTGTTTCGATTCTTGTTTTATTTTGTTTAGTGCACACGAAAGTTATATCTCGGTAATGTATATTTCTAGTGAAATCTAATACAAATACAATTTACTAAAAAAATCATAATTAGTTCGTAGTGTACACCGACGGTGTAATATTTGGTTAGAAATTAAATTGTCGCGTATATATTTATACATATTCGAGTCATTCGATTATATTTTCGATGTTGTTGTAAGCGGCTAAATGTGCGTAATCTTTTTGGGTCGAATCATGTGTTATATTGTCTGTTTTACACAATTTGTTTAAAGTGTATTTCCGCTTGATTTTGCACGCATAGCAATGTTATTGATGAGCTTGGGAGCAAGAAAAGGTCGGCTCTTTTTTTACAGAGTTATTACATAATTAAGTGTTTAACTTGAGACAATTTCATCAATGAAATTAAAGAAAATACTCAATTAAATCTCATTCCACAAAATGGCTTTGTCATTTGAATGTGTGCCCATATGTTCACGTGTCTTGTCAATTCATTAACAACCGCAAGCCCAGCAACAACAACACACACACACAGTTTGCACATTGAACCGATTACGTTTTTATTATGAAAAATATATATGTACATTTTTGTTGTTTTGTTGCCTATTTTTATTTTCTATTAATTTAAATGTATCGCATGATTTGTTTACCAAAAGATGATAAAGTGGGGCATATCTCATTCTACTTTTGTGTTCATCCGTTTTCGATGTCGCTTGCGAATGCGTATTTTGCGCATTGTACTTTTCGACTGGCCGGGCTGCTTGTTTATTTGCTCGTTTTTCATTTTGCATCTAATAGAGCGCGATAGCTAACATATGTGTAGTTTGTAATGTGAAGTGATGAGATACGAGACATGCCAATGAACGTGAATATGTGTAATTTGTGCGTGATGCGTTTGCCTCTATTGAGGTACTATTTCATATTCATTTTTCACGCGAGAATTAAAAGAAAGCCAGGCATCGATGAAATATTTCGCGTGGCTTATTCACTCAATTTGGCCATCAGATGTAAAGAACAGGCTGTTGTCAGTATTGCATCGGGGGCCAGCAATAACAAAGTGTACATTTCTTATCGTCTCTCTTCCCCCCTCTCTCCTTCTCTCTCTCATCCGTGTGAAAGAAAGAGATAGATTTCTTCCTCTCTCTCCGGGTGTAGCAGAAAATGTGAGAAATAAGCGGAAAATCACAATCACTGAAATTATTATTTTAGTGAGCCGTTTGTGTACACAATTAATAATAAAAGCGGCATTTGAATTTGACGGCTCAAAGAAAAGTAACACACACACACACAAACACACATTAGTAATTTAAAGTGAAACATGACGTGTGTTTATTCAGAAGATCGACATATTGTTGTAGAATAACAAAAAAATACGCTTTTTTCTCGTTTTCTTCTTTATTTTTTCTCATTTTCTCATGGTAAGACTCATTTTGATTCAATTTTCAAAATGCATGGGATTGATTTTTCAACGTGAGTGATTAGAGTGAGATATCGAGTTGAAAAGACAGAAAGACGAATTTACTGGGATATGAATAACGGCTTCGGTTCTGTTCAAGACAATTCAAAATATTACGCGATTCGAAATAGTTTTGGCAACCGTACACAAATAATGTCCCTCGCTGCAAAACTAATCAAATCGAACTGATACGGCAAGCAAGAATCCAAGAAATCCGAGGCAAACGCGACGGACACAGTGAACATGAAAGATAGAGAAAGATTGTTTGGCTCGAGAACTCACATTGAGAATGGTTGATATATAAATATAGGATGCAAACAAATCCCCATTGATCCTGTCACATTTTTTCTCTCAGTTGTTTGCCATCCATAGTTTCATCGTTTGGCACCACATCCATCTGCATGAAAACCGCACAAACACATGCACACACACCATCAAAAAAAAAAACAGCAGCAAAGTAAACAATACGTCTCTTATTGATTTGGATGCTTTTTCCGGTCGGTAATGCATTTATATGAGACTCATTCTATTTCTCAACTTCGACTCTTTCAGCCGCTTCGATTTCTTTGATTTGCTGCACAATCTTTTTGCTTCGTCGTCGTTGTCGTCTTTTCTTCATGCTCATGTCTATTTTCTCGGTGGGTATAAACTTGATCGTTGCTTTATTTGTTGGCATCACTTCTATCCAACAACAACAAAAAAAAATATCATTTTACATCAATGCCATTATGGGATGGCATAAGTACCATCGCCAGCACCACAACAGCGCCGAAAAAAAGTCTATTGAATACACACAGAGGATGATGATATT